TGTTTAGAGGTAATTTTTGGAAACTGAATAATTCTAATTTATCTTAAAGCGCTCTCGCTGTATTTAATTTAAATGCCTAACTTTAGCTATCTGGTTAAAATCTCACACTCTCGTGGTCTTGACCCAACCTAATACCCTTTTCTTACTCTCGTAACGAAAAGGTCGAATTCAATTAAAAAGCATCAGCCAGAATGTTAAGTGATTAATTATTTTAGCCCATGGTTAAATTTTACCGGTTAAGTTGGTTATAACTACATACCGCCCTAAGGTATTTAGCTACTCATCGAGGTTGAATCAGACACAGAGTTAAATAATAACTTACTAATGGCAGAAAAATAAATAGACATTATAAATAAATTAAATTGCAATAATTGAAAAACCTGATTAACAAATATCTGAGTAGACTCCTTCTTCCACAGACCGGAAGGCTTGGAGTAGGCGGAAATAAAAATTAAAATGAATGCTGAAGGCTGGAAACAAATAAAAGTATAACAATTCCCTAATGTTGGAAATTGTTACACGGTTGGTTTGGATACAAATAAAATAAGACAGAAAGTAAAATAATGCTGGAATAATAATTCTGGTGGTAAGGTAATTCGGCAGAGCTTCCGCAGGAAATTTGGATAATTGAAGTCTCTCCTGAGTTCTCCTGAGCTGGTCCTATTTATAGAGCTTCCAATGGGCTGGTGCCTTGGTCTTTTGCTTCTTGGGCTTTGCTGGAGTGGTTGAGAAAATGTTGGAAAGTGGCAGCAGAAAATGGGAGAAGTCGTCCTCACGTGCTGCCTTGAGGAGAATTACTAGGAGGAGTGGTCTTCAGTGGTGGCTTGACGTAGTCTGAGTCAAAATCAAGTTATATCCTTGTCACGGGCGTGACAAGGTCTTCACGCTCGTTATTTGATGATTTCAAGTGTCACGGTCGTGACTACTTCCTCACGGTCGTGATGGCCCAAAGTAAGGTGTCACGGTCGTGACACCCTTGTAACGACCGTGGCCGTAACAAATTATGCAGACTTTTTGCAGGATTCTGTCTTGCTTCATTTCTTGTGGTTTCTTTCGTTCTTTTCTTCTTAATTCATGATTTGGCCTCACATAACGATGTACCTGCAAAATAGTAAGAAAAACTCGAGAAATCGAGCGTTAAAACGGTGAATGCGCGATAAAACGTCAATGAAATCTAGCGATATAATCGATGCGTTTTCTCGTCATCAGCGACTATACTTAGAAATAAACCCCCTAGGTCTCTTACCCTTAGCAAATAACAACAATAAAATCATTAAAATAAGATGCTCCTGTAGAGTACTACAGATGCTTAGGATGCTAATACCTTCTCTAAGTTTAACCAACCCCTAAACCTTAGTTTCTCTAGCTTTGCATTTGCATTGCATCTTCCGGGTTATTCGATATTTTCCCTTTCCTTGGAGAAATTAAAGACCAGTAGTAAATAATGAGTTAAGATTCAAGTTAATCAATAGCTTGATATCAAATTCTCACAGCGGCATAAATAATTTTACTTTGTCTGAAATAAATCATTGCAATGATATTGTTTCCACTTTCGTATGATTTTGTACGGAATATGTCTTGGAATTTGTTTGATTGTCAGCTTTCACTTATGGCTCATGTCTTTGTATGACTTCCATGAGTTAGGGACAGGATATGGTCATGATGGTACCGCCATTCAAAGTGGCAGTGATCAAGATCATGAAAGGGGAGATGTCAAATTGCTTGACTACAACAACTAACCCAAGAACATACAGATTATGATGGAAGCCATATATGTTGTGTAGTTATTCATCATTTGGAATCTAGCTCTGCTTGTCAACACGATACTGACAATCAAACTCTTACTTAGCTCAGTTAAGGAAAAAATCCAAGGCACTCTTTGCAGTGTCAGTTGCATTCTTGCATTGGTAAAAAAAACGTAACAACATATGATGGCTAATTAGGAGCTTTGCAACACATGAAATCCTTTCAATTGTGACTTGATGCCTTTGTAGGATGTGTGTCATGACATGAAATTTTTGTAATACCTTGTAACCTTAAATGAGCGAAATTGCACTCTTTGCATTTTGGACTCTATTTGAATTTTGTAAGGACATGAATCTAAATTTCTTAATTTTGCACCTGAACACTCTAAAGTTTTGAATCTTCATGACAACTTTGAATTAGAACTCTCAAATTTTCAAATTAAACTGTGCGAAACATGAATCTCTAATTGAATTCGAACTTGAATCCATAATAACTTTGAATTTGAATTGCTTCACGGATCTTATGAAAAAAACAAAAATTTGTACCTTAAAACTTGATGCAAATCTTATAAAAACAATTTTTCTTGCTCTTTATGCCTTGAATTTTTTAGTGATGAGTTTTTTTTATACAAATCACTTCTCGTCACAATTCATGGATATGACAATTTCCACTAGGGAATATCCAGAGTAGTTGACCAACAGGTTCAAGCATGATCAGCTGACACGCTAGGATAAAAGGTAAAATAGGATCCACATAGAAATAGGCTCATGCAAACGAATGCTGGAGTTTTCAATCAAGAAAGAACATTCGAGCCTATGGAAATTCCTTAAACAAAGATATCAAACGAGATCTTCAGGAAAGATACATGATAATTAAACTCTTCTGTATGCCAAAATAATTGGACTTCATGGAGAAACGCCCTGCTAAGCTTCTCAAAAGAGACTACTACTTATCTCGGAAGGGACTTACACACCACTAAGAACGGATAAGCTTCTCAAATAAAGAGACTGCCACTTATCGTCGGAACAAGATAAGCTTCTCAAGAGATTGTCACTTATCTGACAAAAGCAAAAAAAGATAAGCTTCTCGAGCAAAACTGCCACTTATCTGGAAAAGGCAAATGGAAAACAAGCTTCTCAAGGGAGATTGTCACTTGTTGTTGGAAATAACAAAATTGGATAAACTTCTCATGAGAGACTGCCACTTATCTAGAATAAAGATAAAAATGATAAGCTTCTCAGAAGAGACTGCCACTTATCGGACAAAAGTAAAATGATAAGTTGGTCTCCACTCCTCACAAACTCTAGACAAATTCATCTACCATATAGATGCATTGATTCCTTTATCCTTCATGTAATGTGTCTCCACCCCTCTCAAACTCTAGACAAATTCATCTATTGATGCATTGATTCCTTTATCCTTCATGTAATCCCTATCTACTCCATATTTTTTCATATCCTTCTTATGAACATAGATTTTCTCAAAATCTACTTTAAACATAATCGATTCTTATGCTTTCCAACCTTTCACAAAGGTTGTGTCGGCCTCATAAATAATAGTACCAAAAACCATCCTTAGTTGATTTGGTATAATCGTAGATAAAATCTTGTCCATGCACTAAATCACATAAATAATTTGAAAAAGTATACCACAAATTCCATTAAATTTACACTTTTTAAAGAAAAAAATAAACATATCTAAAAATCATATAAACTTTTATATTAAAAAACATAAAAATTTCAAACATGTCCTATAATTTATGACGACAAAGTACGTTGCATGTTCTAATGCAAATTTATATGGCTCTATAGCAGCACAGCCAAATAGTGCTACTAGAGTTAACACTCAAAAAAGTTTTATATAGATCACACAAACTTTTATGAATTTAAAGAAGGTTGCGAGAAGGTTTTACAATGTTATTCAATAAACATATATTGTTTTATAATATCATATAAATTTTTTAACATTACAGTTTGACTTAATGAAATTTATGATCGTGATTAATTGACAGTGTGAAAAAATATCACTCATTTTTTCAACTTTTAATATTATCAATCAATATAGAAATTTTAGATAATTATAGCATAAGTCATAATTATGGCCGACCCAACACATTTAGAAGTCTGAAGCAAAAATTTAAATTAAAAATTTTAATATAATAAAAATATTTTTATTTTAAATTAATAAATTCTAATTTCAAGTTTTTTAAAATATAAAAATATTAAATTATTCTAATCAATTTTATTTAATAGGTTATTTTTAATTGATAATAAAATCAATACATCTAAACACTCTAATAATCACTTTAAAAAAATTATAATTAAAATATTACCAAAGTTCTTAAAAGAACCTTATATTTTAAATGTTATTTTATGTATGAGAACTTAAATTTTTATTATTTATAATTATGACTTTTAATAGAATTCTCTTTAAAGGCGTGAATGACAGATTACACGATAGGGTGTAAAATTTTTTAAGGTTAAGTCGTGATTAAAAAGGGCCTAAAAATTATTGATTTTATTTAAACAATAATAAAATATGGTTTATATTTATTTTTCGCAGTTGAACCATATTTAACTTACATAAGACTCCTAAAAACTTAAAACGGTCTTAATTTTTAAATTAATCAAATATACAATATATCTCTTAAATTATTATTATTATTATTATTATACACTTATTAAAAACTATTATAGAAAAATAATTTTAAAAGTTTTTTAAAAAATATATCAGTTAATTAGAATTATATACTCTCTCGGTTTCAAAATGATTGTCGATTTAAGAAAAAAAATTGTTTTAAAATAACTATAGTTCTCACTTTCCAATTTAATAATAGCTGTTATTTTTTCAATTATATCATATAATTATTACTATGCACAATATTTTTACCAATTATATCATTATTATTCTGCATAATATTTTTAACATATTAATAAAACTAATTTAACAAAAATATAATATTTTATAACAATATTATTACATTTCATCTATATAAAAAAACATTTTTTTTTAAAAAGAAACCCTAGGCGGTGGCCTATCCTAGGGCCGGCCCGGGTCATAATCTCCTCCAATAAACAAAAATCAAAGTTGAATTATCGATACGGTGTGTTTTACAACTCTCTTCTCTCTCACTTACAAATTAGAAATTTGCAAAACTGTTTGGTTTCGTTTCGCTCCAAAATCAAACTCACCCTCTTCACTCTCCACACTCATTTCCCCCAATCAGAACCCTAAAAAACTGTGAAGAAACAAAAATGGTGAAATCAGCCATAACCACCGTTTCCATAGAAATTCTATTTCTGTTATTTTTCACCTCAACATTCTTTAACTCTTCCCATGCTTCTCCAACACAAGAACAAGATTCTTACTCTGAAGAACAACATAAAGGTAACTGATTAATTAACTCTAATTAATTTCCATTTACACTAATCACATCTTTCTAATCACTAACTGTATCTATTTGCATTGTAGAAAAACCACCGAGTTACCTAAAAATGGTATCAAACGCAAGCGAGTTTCCGTTAGAAGATTACTACGACTACATCATAGTCGGCGGCGGAACCGCTGGTTGTCCATTAGCCGCCACACTCTCACAATCCCATCGCGTTCTCATTCTCGAACGAGGCGGAATCAGCTATGGAAGACCTAGTTTAATGAACCAAGAAGGTTTCTTGAACACACTCTTGAGCGCAAACGCAAACAACGTTAACAACGATGATTCGCCGGCTCAGTCATTCGTTTCGGAAGACGGCGTACTCAATGCTCGTGGCCGCGTTCTCGGCGGAAGCAGCGCGATCAATGCCGGATTCTACAGTCGTGCCGATCGTGAGTTTTTTACAAAATCTGGTTTGCTTTGGGATTTAAAGCTTGCGAACGAATCGTACGAATGGGTTGAAAGAGAGGTCGTGTTTCGTCCTGAATTGAAAACGTGGCAATCCGCTGTTCGTGATGGTCTTCTAGAAGCTGGTGTGGGTCCCTATAACGGTTTCACGTTAGATCACGCTAGAGGAACGAAAATCGGTGGGTCCACTTTTGATACTTCAGGTAAACGACATAGTTCAGCGGATCTTTTACGATATGCACGACATTCCAATCTCCAAGTTGCCGTTTACGCCAGTGTCGAACGACTCCTTCTAGCATCATCTTCATCTTCTTCGTTTTCCTCTCCAAATTCCCCAACAACATCGAGTTTATCAGCTATTGGTGTTCTCTATCGTGATGAAAACGGTAAATATCATCACGCTATTTTGAAAGATCGAGGTGAAGTGATTCTTTCAGCAGGGGCAATTGGTTCTCCACAGCTTCTACTTCTCAGTGGAATTGGACCTAGACCTTATCTTTCTTCATGGGGAATTCCAGTTGCTCATCATTTACCTTATGTAGGTCATTTTCTATATGATAATCCACGTAACGGAATCACGTTTCTACCGTCGGTTCCTCTTGAACATTCTCTCATTGAGGTTGTAGGTATCACAGATTCAGGTGCTTACATTGAAGCTGCTTCTAATGTTGTTCCGTTTTCGACACCGCAACAAATGCTTTTCATCCGTCCGCCTGCTTCGCCGCTTTACTTAACGGTTGCAACGCTGATTTCAAAGATTTCAGGACCGGTTTCTGCTGGGTTTCTTCGATTAGCTTCGACGGATGTTAGGTTTAATCCAATTGTTAGGTTTAACTACTTTACCAATGCTGTTGATGTTGAGAGATGTGTTAATGGAACCAGAAAACTAGGGGATGTTCTTAGGAGTAGAGCAATGAATGATTTCAAGTTTAGGAATTGGTTAGGGGTTAGAGATTTTAGGTTTATTGGACCTGCTTTGCCTAATGATCAAACGAATTATGTTGAAATGGCTAACTTTTGTAGAAGGACGGTTAGTACTATATGGCATTATCATGGTGGATGTGTTGTTGGTAGGGTTGTTGATTCTCATCTTAAGGTCATTGGAATTGATTCTCTTAGAATTGTGGATGGTTCTGTTTTTAGTGTTTCACCTGGAACTAATCCTCAAGCTACACTGATGATGCTTGGAAGGTGAGTTTTTTAGCTTTGATCAATTCACTTTTCATAGGTATTTGAATTAATGTTTGATTAGTAATAATAATCATGTTTTGTGATTGTTCTATTTTGGCAGGTATTTTGGGCTCAAGATAAGAAGAGAAAGGGAAAAATATAGTGATCAGTGATCCTCTGCAATATCTGTTTTGCTATTTCACATTTTGGCAGGTATTTTGGGCTCAAGATAAGAAGAGAAAGGGAAAAATACAATGATCAGTGACCCTCTGCAATATCTGTTTTGCTATTTCACATTTTGGCAGGTATTTTGGGCTCAAGATAAGAAGAGAAAGGGAAAAGTACAATGATCAGTGACCCTCTGCAATATCTGTTTTGCTATTTCACATTTTGGCTTATGAATTTGGTATTAGAGTGTGTAATCACCTGGAACTAAACACACACACACACAATGTATATACTGTATAGATTGGATGTGTAGTAAATAATGTTTTGGGGGTGGGTTTGGAATGATATTTTCTACCCCTAACCCTAGCTTTGATTGATTAGAATAGATTGTTAATTTGCTGAATAATAATGCCAAGTTGGCAATGACGAAAGTATTCATTTCCAAGTTTCTTATCTTCATACTCTTTATTTGCATAGATACATTCTTCTTTTTCCCCCCTCTAATTACAAATGTTTGCGAGTCTTATGGTAGCCGTGCTAATTGAAGTGTAATGAGTTAGTTTGGGCTACAAGAGTTTACTTCAAATTATAACAATATATCTACATGGATAATTTAATTTAGTTTAGTAGTAGTGATTTTGGGGTATGTAATATTGGGCACGAATCCTATTTTAAATTCTTCAATTTTTAGCTTTTCATAAAATATTTCATAGATGTGCGATCCGTCAATAATTGTTTTTGAATGATTCTCTTTTTCTTAAAAACAATATTCACTACAATTTTTAAAAGTAAAATAAATAATTTGAGAATTCCAAAAATAGTTAGTTAAATCATAAAACATTTACCAAAATAATTAATTTTGTCTAGAAATATTCATTATACATTTCACAATTTATCCTCTATTTTATTTTCAATCCATAAACTCGGAAACAAAATTAAGTTTGTTTCCTTTTGTCAAGTAAGTAAAGTAGGCATACGAATCAACTTTTTACTTTGTCTTAAAATATATTAAAACAAAGCAAAAAAAGAGACTGGATGGAGAAAGGACAAGGACGGTCTTGCTCTTACTTTGTCTAAAGAGACGGGATGGAGAAAGGACAAGGACGGTCTTGCTCGGGACAAAGGCTATTGCTCGGGACAAAGGCTATTGGTTTGGGTTGGACTATTTTTGTCATGCTTATTCCTAATAAACACATAATTTACTTTTAAATAATTTATGCCCCCACTATTTTCTCTCTCTTTTCAATTCATTTATTTAATAAGAATAGTAAATGTATTCCTAAACCTTTATCCATCTTATTCCAAATAAATACATATTTATTTCTAATAAATACACCCTCATGCATGAGATTCTTTAATTTGTCTTTACATAAAGCGCAACTTGATATTAACACTTCTTCGTTTAGTTAAATAACTCCCAACTCGGGGATTAAATTTCTTTTTGGCATAAATGAGAGTTATTAGTTGACATTTGGACTAACTTTTAATTTTGAAAAAAAATTGGTAAAAAAGTTGTTTAAGTCCTTTAAATTACTTTAAAATATCAAGTTAGTTCTTTAAATATTTTTTGTAACGCTTTGTTCTTTTATGTTAAGTAACGTTTGCGCCGTTGGTCTTTTTAAAAATCTTTGTTTAAAAAAAGCACATGTGGCATTTAACAGCGATGTGTCATTTTATTTTGTTATTTATTTATTTTTTAATTTCACATAGTTTTTATTTTTATTTTTATTTTTATTTTATTTTTTATTTTTTATTTTTTGTTATTTTTTTTAATTAAAAGGACTTGATTGTCACATTTTAAAAACATATGAGACGTGAGTGTTACAAATTAAAATATAACTGAAATGTTGTTACACTATTTACTAGATTCTTATAATGGTTAGGAAAATCATAATAGAATGCATTATGTTCTTATAGCCATGAATGATGTTGGTTGTGTTATTCATATTATTGTGGTTTACATGTTGAATGTTGTTATTAGTTGAGTATAAGAATCATGAACTTAAATAAACATGATTATATGTATTCTTTGATGCCTCTTAATGATTTTGATGTAAATAGGTCTTGGAATGAAGAGGGAATGAACTGTTCTTCAAAGTATCTAACAATGTAATCAGGATCGCATTTAGCTTCGCCAGAAGTCTGCTTAGCACTATCAGGAAATTCATACTTAAATCACCTTAAAGCCTTAAAGCGCGCTTAACACGATGAATGTGTGCTTAGCGAGAAAACTACTTTTTCGCCAGTGCCTATGCTTCTCTAAGAGCACTAGGACCACGCTTAACCCGCTTTGCAAAACACAAAATCTTTCAAAGGTGACTTTAGCGTCCTGCTATATGCTTTCAAGTATCCAATGTTCCTAACATGCTATGAAACCTGCAAAATGACAGAAAATCATATATATCATGCTATATTACATCGTATAACTTATGAATGCTATGAATCATGTTATAAGGTAAGTTAATCAGTGTTGTTGTTCTAATTGTGAAATAACATGTTTAAAAACCTTAAGAAGATGAGTGAGAAAACCTAGGCTTATAACTTGGTAAACGGATTGGAAAGATAACTTAAGCTACAAGTATGACTTAGATATGGTACCTAAGTGAGTATCATAGATGGATGATCGTCATAGTTGAGGGTGAGATAAATGCTTTGTATGGAACATGTATGGTTGTTGTGTGATTGAGGTGAATGTGGTCACCTTGTGATTGTCGAATATAATCACGTTATATTATGTTTAATCACAGAGTAGGAACACAACCTTTGATTGTGCCGTCCCAAGTTGAAATGCTTACATAGAGTAAGAACTGGGGTGTATGCACCATTAATTTGATATGGGTTTGAGTCCCAAGGAAATGGTGGAACCTTAAGTAGGTTAGAGTCTTATACGGGTGAAAGACTTGAAATGGGTTTGGAGTCCAATAGAACCGACGGTTCTTAAGGTTGAGGAGTCCCTTAGAATTTGAAATCCATGCGTATGTCAAAGTATGAGATAAAGATTCGTGACGATAACCTTAGACGTAGGGCTTGCCGGGGAAAGATACATTGAATTAGTTTCCGATTTGTGATTGTTGGAATTGATGAACTCAATTGACATATTTCCATACATTGCAGGGTTTGCGAACTCAAGTCCTTCTTCCCATTTTGACTTGAGTTAGGATGAAGATTAAAATCTTGTAAAGCCGAGTGGACTCATAAGATAGGGAACCCACTGTGATTATTATCTCACCCCATATTTTTTTATTATTTTCAGGTAGTTCGGAGCAGTCAAAGGGTAAGGACAAGTTGACTTAATGTCCTTACTTGCTTGACATTTTGGGGTGGGTTTCTGCTATGTCGGTGGATATTTTGAGATCATTCTACAATGAGCTAGTTCTTAGTTTATATTTGGGAATCCTGTATATATATTGTGCCATCGTTGTAGTTTCTTTTGGGCATGTAATATGTGAAATGTTGCCACTAGGCACTTATATGTTTCAGTGTCAATATCACAGTTATGTATAATATGTAATTCTAGACATGTATTATATATGGGTGTTACATAATGCAACAAAGTGTTGCTGGTTTCGGGGACCACTGCTAAGTTTTAAAGAGATAACATATTTTATGATTTTAAGTATATTTATGTATGTATATAACTGTAATGTTTTATTTTTACTTTTAAAAATAGATTTTTTACTAGTTTAAGTGAGGTAAAGTTCTTACTGAAAACTTTGTTTCATTCTTAAATCAAAAGAACTGCATACAAAAAACTTAGTGAAAACAGGAAAAAGAAACAAAGAGCCGAAAGGTTAGATCTAGAAGAATATTTGTCTCAACACAAGAACAATGGTTGATGTAAATAACAACAATGAAACAACAATGATGACACATTGTGTAAACATGGTCTCAGACGTCTAGCTCACTTAACTAGAAAACAAAGGAATGTCTGACAAAGTGAAATGAAAAGCGAATTGTTACAAATTTTGTCAGCTAAACCTTTTGCACTTTTAGGTCACGAAAACCCATATACACACCTCATAAAATTCTAAGAGATTGTTGGTATGCTAGGAGCATTAGAAGATGAGGAAGAGGCGTTATTCCGACGATTGTTCCTATACTCAATGATTAGCAAAGCAAGTGACTGATATCTATTCCAACCCACATAAACGATGAAGAATTGGAACTTGTTGGAGGAAAACTTCTTAAATAGGTTATTTCCTCAAAATAAATTTATGGAAGCAAAGACTAGCATCACAGTGTTTTCCTATGGCGTAGCAAAAAATATTTGTGACACGTGGTAAAGATCAAGTCCATGTTGAGACGATATTCAAACCATGGTTTTTACAAACTCGTGTAGATATATACTTTTAGAATTGGACTTCAACAACAACCTAAGTGGTTAATATATGTTATTGTTAGATGTTCTCTGATGTAAAGCACTAAAGATACAACTATAATCATTGAGCGTATGACGCTTAGTGATCATCAAGGACAACACATTAGGAACCTGCTCAAAGAAAGAATAGTATCATATAATTGAATACCATTGATGCCATTTTTGCTCAAAATAAGTTGTTAACTGAGACGGTAGATGAACTAACTAAACAACTCTCAAAACTACAGCAATAATTGGAAGAAATGCATGAAGTAACTCAACATAGGCAGATTGCATTCTATGAACTTTACAACAGAGATTATCCAACCGTATTTCCCCCTACTGATAGGGAAATAAACTATTTAGGAAATTAAAATTTTAGGCAATATCAAAACAATAGTTTCAATCAAGGATAAAGATTCAAATTTGGTTCATCCAATAGACAACCTATTCAAAATTATTTACAAAAACATCAACTATCTGGAAAAAAGTAACAAAGCTAAAGGATACGCTCAATCGGTTTATGTAGGTGTATATGGCTAGCTACAAAAACACTTAAGTCTCTATAAAAAACCTTGATGTAGGAAGGCTAATTAGCCAAATAAATCTCAGATCTCTCAAGACATTCAATGCAAATACAAAGATCAA